AATAATTAAGCCTTTCAGACAATTTTATTTGTAAGTAAAATTAGTTTAACAACAACAAAAGTTAGTTGGTACAATACAATAATTATTTTTTACTTTGAAATAATTTATATTAGTGGTTTATTTTAAACAGAAAACAAAACACTAATCAAAACACCACTGAAGCCCAGCTTGAGGCCTTTTTTAGTACAAAATTCAATAAGGAAATAATTATTTTACTTACCAATTTGATACATAAACAACATTAAAATAAATTGTTATCAACTCCTAAATTGCGAATAAACAACAACAAAATTTCATTGAAGTTTTAATTAATGAAAGATCATGTTCCTCGTAATTTGATAATCAAACTCTATGTAACTTTTGATGAGCTATGAAATAACAAATTCCAGTAAATTATTTAGTAAGCAATCGAGTCCGGCTTTAATTTTAATTTTTAGTAATTGAATTAAGTCATAAAAGTAATTTATTTTCTGCAAACAGGCTTTTAAAAAGCGCTTTTACACGTTTCAGTATCACTTTAATCCTACTACTGCTGCGGGACAATAAATGGGCCAGTGCTGAGAGAGCAAAAAAACTCAGTCACCAAGTAAGAATCATGGTAAAGAATAAATCTAGGATATTGGTGCATTTAAAATTTAAGTATAACTTCGATTCCAGCAAAATAAAAAATCAAAACGAACTGTGGAATGTAGCACAACCACCCAATACAAAAATAAACAAAACAAACCTATTTTTAAAGTTCACCAACTCACTCAGGGCTAGCGTTCAAGTTAGGTAACCTAACTTTGAAAGGCACAGTGAATGAAAATACAACTTAAAGGGTTTGCCTTGAGAGTCTATTTTCAAATGGATTCAAAACCATCCCGACTAGTCGTGACCGGACTCCTGTGACTGAGTACAAAAGCTTAACGAAAACAGCCAGTCAAAAACAAGGAGTTTTAATGACAAGAAATATGATGAAAAGCAATGAATAAAATTTTATTTTATTTTACCAAGTGTTCTTAATTCAAAAGATAAAAGACAGTAACTTTTACTAGTATCTAATAGCTATTATTATATTATACATTGTAATTCGTTGATACTTATTATAAGTTTAGGCCGCCTAAACCTAACCAACAATCCGTAGAAACAATACTTACTATATAGAGCACTTGAACCAAGAGAAATCTACTGTGACACCCCAATTGAATAAGTGACGTAGTCAATTTCTATGGAAAAAACGAGCTCTACCTTGTTTGTTCTGAAAAGCCACCCCCACTTAGCCTAGTTCTAATTACTTAAGTAAGCACAATTAAGATTCTGTAGTCCTTATAAGGTATTCTATTTTTTCTTTAATTCCCGAAGTAGGTGTTTATACCATTAGATCCATTTGTCCAAACTTCATTACCGAACGCACCCTACTGAGACTGACTGTTGTATTTTCCCTACATCCACGAACAAGTAACTTTCCAAACTAGTTTGTGGAATCGATACATTTCTAGTGCTTTTAAGGCTTCTTGCTTGCCGTCAGTGCTATAATTGAAGATCTAAGGAGAAACCTATTCCGGTGAGCCGTTTATTTTGCCTGATTGATAGGCAGTAGTCAGAGAAAATAGATATAATTTATAGACAGATACTCTATAGTACAGTCTCTGGCACATAACGTTCGAGAAGAGAGCGTATCTTCACCTTAAAGGCCGGCAACGCACCTGTAACGCCCCTGGGACTGCGGGTGTCTATGGGCGACGGTAATCACTTACCATCAGTAGGCCTAAGATGCGCGCCGTGATAAGTTTTATCGTCGTCAAAATGTATGGGCAAAATCGATAAAATGGCGTGATAACCGCTTATGGCGGCGCGCATCTTAGGCCTACAGGTGATGCGTCTGCTCGTTTGCCTCTTGTCAAATAAAAAAAAAAAGATTAAAAAATATGCTGTAAAATAGCACCTATTACAAATTACATTAGATGCCACAGTTCATTAAAAATAAAAGAATTTTATCTGTATCCTTCATATTGTTTTGTTAGTTACCTAAAAGTAACTAGAAACCTTAAACATAACTACATAGAAAGGACTGGTATTGTACATATAACGTAACTACGTGGCGACTACGGACTGGAAGACGTAGTGTAGGCAATTCTCCCACTCGGTTATAGACTCGGTGGACCGATGATCTAGTAAAGATCGCGGGAAGCACCTGGATGCGGGCAGCACAGAACCGGTCGTTGTAGAAATAATTGAGGGACGTATTTATCCAGCAGTAGACGTCATTTAGCTGAAAAGAACGAACAACATTTTCTGGCTGGCTTTGAAGTTATGGTAGTTCTCTGTAATTATGAAACAAATCGGTTAATACAACCTTTTTACTCATAAATACTTCATTAGTGGGTTGTAGTGAATTGGTGAACGGTGGTACGGGAGGCAATCGTAATAAAAGACTGCGAAAGAGGGTAGACCGATATGTCTGTCCATAACATCTCACCCGCATGTTTCTTCAGTTATTCCGTGACCATGTCGCTTGCAACAGTGCCGAAATATCGGAAACACAAAATTAAGGTACATGGTAGCAATCCCGTCAGTAATAATAATTATGATAGTGACCATGAAAGTTTAAAACAATATACTTCATTAGACCAAAAATCGATACCAACCCGAGTCCTTGCGGCTTTGAATGAAATGTCAAATTCATTTACAAATAGCCTTTAGACTTCTATAAATAACATCTGGATCTGAAAGACCTTATCTAGCCGCTCCCCAGGGACGCTATCGCATTGCAAATGGCGGCCGAGGTTACGTTCAGGATCAAGTTTATTCTATTTTAAGTGCAAACGCGACTGGGAATTAAAACTAGCTATTTATTAGCATTTTATTGAAGATTTAAACTTTATCTTAAAAATTGCTAGTTATTATTATTTGTTGCAAAAATGATTTAAAAGGTAAACCGCGCATAATATGCATAAGTTATGTGTTGTTTTAAAACAAAACATTCGTATTATCTTTCTAAATAGCGTTGCTAATATTAATTACTAATTTATTGTATTAATTACATTTTAATTAGGTGTAATACGTATCATAATTCCTTGTTTCCGTAATTAGGTACCTGTTATAAAGAGAAAAATGTGTTGTTTGATATTTGTACAACAAGGATACTTAATTAGTTCCTTATATTCGTATAAAAACATTACAAAACTTAAGAAAAGATTCTGCCCTGTGATTGGTCTAAGACCCGGTGTCTGTCTCGAGAATTAAGTACAGCATGATAATGCTCATCTTTTCTACTCAAGGGAGAAATTAATAATAATATGTTAAGTTCACACTTGATTAGAAGATGAGCACTAAATTGAGCACGCTTAAGCCAAAAATTATGATTATGACAAGATAAGTACTTACTAAAAAACTCGGTTCAACCTCAACCCACAAGTCTTGAATATACTACGCCCGTATTGACAAACATTACTATGAGCTTGTAAGCGCGCGTGAACGCACAGGGTGACATACGAACCAATAGAGCTCTATTCAACGTGTCTGTGCGTTCGATTTGCTGCTTCACTTCACCGAAAAGCTAATAACAGTGTTAACATAAATACCAAAACAAATAGGAAAAATATTATTATTATGGTACCTAGTATAGGTTAATATATTANGAGAAACCTGGTGCCAGCAGCTGACCGAAACCAGTAACAGACTGAGAGGAAGATATAATAACATGATCAATCCATGTATCACAAGAGTCAATGTTATGATGAGTGGGGTTAAAAGGGAGATGGAGAAGACCAGTAGACTTGAGAAGAGTTAAGAATTTTTGTGCTCTGGGGGAATCTCTAGACAAGTCGGTATTAAAGTCACCCATAATAATATGGTGAGAGTACTCAGTGCCAATGAATTCCAAAGCAGGTTCCAGTTGAGGGAAATAATCGACAGCTGGAGGGCAATAAACGACTCCGAGGACCGCTACCGCTCCACCCAAGCTGACCTCCACGAACAAATACTCAGCTGAAGCTGAATAAGTAGATGGGGAAGAAGAGATTATTTTATAAGGAATATTTGATCTGAGATAAATAGCCACACCACCGCCACCCTTTCCAGTACGATCATTCCGTAAGAGAATGAAACCAGGCAGACTATACGTAGAAGATGGCATGGACGGCTTAAGCCAGGATTCGGAAACAAAAACAGCGTGAATGAGATTAGATGAAAAGCTATCAAGTAAGTCGTTATAATGCCCAGGAATGCTTTGTGCATTTATGTGACAAATGTTAAAGTTATATTTGTTAACCACTAGGCACTTCTCGAGTTGAGCGTTGAGTGTTTCGATATCAGAAAGATCGGAGTCGAAGGAGTTATTGCACGAGTGAAAAGAAAGAGAAGAATTGACCGAGTTAAAGGATTCATTATTTGTAGACATAATTGCTTAGTAATATTATGCAAATAAATATAATATAATATAAATAACTATTAAATATTATAATATAAAATTATACGACATAAAAAAAAACTAAAACGCGATAATTAATATTATTGACTAAAGCCACACTGCAACACCCACCAGCAGAACTGTTGAGAACATGAACGAATAAAATATCTATAACATGTTTACAAACAAAACAAAGAAAGAAACAAACGAAACGTATAAGCAAGCGAGAAAAGAGTTTAACAAAACAAACAAAAAAAAAAATAGTTTGATAGAAACACTGACTGGCTGTATGGCGTGACGCCTTTGCCCCAAGGCCCCAACGCGAACGTGCAAAATCCACTACGAAGGAATCGAACAAGTTAGAGAAAAAAAAAAAAANTCCACTGCGAAGGAATCGAACAAGTTATAGATGACCCACGCTGAACTGTCCCACCAAACTCAATGACAGGGGGGCGCTACCATCGTTCAACTATATGGTTTCCAACATGGCAAAAATCGGAACCAGCGATCTGGTATTGACGGTGGCGCCCCACTGTCAATGTCATGCATAGGACAGTTCAGTATTTTGGAACTATAGAGAGAAAAAAAAAAAAAAAAAAGAAATCTGACATTGACAATTAGAGTGTCATCGTGAAATTGAGGTTAAACCAGCACTATTATATTCAAAACAATCAAAAAAAGTTATTTCAACGTTACCTTCGTGGATTTCAACTAATTGTAACAAAAATAAGGACGTGACATGGGACACGAATAAGTAAAACTAGCACTACGTCACTTCCTTGCGGCCTGCCTACGAGTTCCAATGATTTTAGTGGAAGAGCTCGAAGTTGATGTCGAGGATGCGGATCTAGCTGCCGGCGCCGACGAACCTTCCCTAGCTGCAGGCACAGGATGATTAACGTTGGCTGTCGGGTCCAGATCGCCTAGGGATGTAATAAGGCAGCGCTTCCCGTCGGCCAACTTTGCATAAATGTTGCCGTCTAGTGTCCAGACGTTCGTCATGCCGTATCTTCTGCGTGCCTCCAAGAATAGAGTCTGTCGACTGCGCGTGAGGAACTCCGAGATGACAGTGGGAGTACCTTTTAGCGCAGTCTTCTTCTTCCAAACTGCGGATTTTGTAGTGTGATCAGCGAACCGCACCAGAATTGGACGTGGCCTGCCTTCTCTGTTGGATCCTAGTCGATGGCATGCCTTCAATACTGATTTGGTCACATCAGGCATGTTAAAGCGGGACCTCAGTATATCACAAATGACCGCAGGGGCATCCTCCTTCGTGTCCTCGGGGATTCCACCAAATAGAAGATTTTTCCTGCGATGGCGCATCTCCAGAGCATCCGTGGCACGCGAAAGCTCCGCAATCTGTGAGCGCAGGAGCTGCACAATTCCGACAACACTCTCCTTGAAAGCCCTGAACTCGGAATATAGCTGTCCGAGTGTAGTCGGCTCCGATGCCGATTGCTTAAACTGTGCTTCAAACTCACTCATGCGCTTGTGTAAAGATTCTTCCAGTGATGTCTGCAACTGGTGTACATCAGCCAAGGTGGACATGTTGGTGTAGTTGATAAGAAGTGATGAGAGCCGGTGACAGGTGCAGTGTAGTGGTAATCACAGCATATAAAGTGATGCAAACGATAGGGGGTTTAAATTAGTGCCCTTTGAGTTAGATCACACTATATAAAGGTAACTATTCAACTTTTAACTATTTTTAAACAATTGTAATCTGAGAGAGAGCTGTTAACCACTTTTACGCCTACCGCCGAAAAACACAGAATAAGTAATAGTACAGGTACAGAAGGATTACTCCGCACGACGATTTAAATAAATGCGAGTCTTGCTGCGACGCGATACAGTGGAATTCAGCTCGCACAGCACTACGTACCTACAATTTTATTCACCTACAAGTTTTGTCTCTTTCTATCGCGTGCCTCTGAACTCTTCTTACGCTGTTAGGGTTGCTGTCTAGTGAAAAAATAATTAATCTACTTATTTGTAATGAGGTACGTATGTAGGTAAGTAAAAATAACATTTCAAATATACCTAATTAGGATTAAAAAAACTTGTTCTATTACAATGTCTTCATTCATACCTACCTATTTTAACATAAGACAGATAAATTAAACATACTATTACAGAAAAAAAAGAATCCTATACTATCCTAAGAATTTTATTATTGATTACCTACATGGCCAACATACCTTTCAGCATCTTTGGGAAGCGAAAAAAAAAGATAAATCCGGTAATTTCTTTTCGAATTTAAACACCCGAACGCCGCACAATATTTCTTTCTCTTTATGTCCATTTTTAAATAATACTTCGATCATAGAATTATAATCATACTAAAACGCAAGCCAGCGTCCTGACGGGCGAGCGCGTGACACTCGACTGATATAATACCCGCCGGCGGGGCGCTTCGCTGTAGGTAATTATCGGATGTACCACGCGGAGTGAGCCAGGCCTGGCAGTACGCAGCGTATGCGTACTGGTCGTGTATAGTTTGGAGGAGCTTAGTAAAAAAAGTCATATCCAAACTATACTCGATTAGTTTCACACCCTTGCGTTCTGGCTATGTATAGAATGGAAAGACGCCCCTCAGACACTACCGTGTAGAAAATTTTCATGAAGAAAACATCTCATGTGTTGTCTTTTCTATGTCATCCACACTGCACTGTCTCTGTTGGTAAGATTAGATTGAAAGAACGATATCACGATAGTTATTTGAAACCATACCTATACACAAATTTTCATATCCTAATCTTGCTTATCTGTGTAAGTATATTTCTTTGTTGGCTTCCTTTGTGAAGCGTTAATTGTTTCTATGATTTATTGTCACAATAAATAGATTGTGTAGTGTCTGAGGATAAATTTGTAAAAGTGTCTAAAGTAATGTAAATTATTTGAAATGGCAACTTTTTTGGGCAGAAGTCAGTAAAGCACATATTATAATGATTTTATCACTAATTTGGTTAAAAAGTTTTTTACACAAAAAGTCATTATAAATCTTTATTAAGTTCTGGCAGTTAGTCAAAACAGAGTGTGTATCGACTATGTTACGACACAAAATCATTAATGGACAATAATCTGGGGGCACGGCAGTGCCCCCACCAAGTTGAGCAAAAAAGCGGCACGGCCGTACCATCCTTTTCTCGAAGCAATTCAGGCCATTTTCGACCGCCTGTAACTTCGTTGTGGATAAAACTAGAAGGCTGAATTTTCATTAGCTATGCAGGCATTGTAAAGACACGGTATATTTAAAATTTCATTCAATTTGAACCAGTAGTTTAAGAATTATAACGGGTCAAAGTTACTTTATTGTGTCACTCACTGACTCACTGACTCACCGATCATCAAAATTCTAAGGCACTTCTAGCAGACCTAGAAGCTTCAAATTTGGAATATAAGTAGTGTTTGGTGTATGAATCAAGGAAAAACTAAAATATTTGGGGGCACGGTAGTGCAACCGCCAAGTCGAGTAAAATTTTTCAATTTCGGTCCAGTTTTCTAATCCCATCAAAAACAATACTTGTCAAAAAAACCAAGTCTCGCAACTCAGTTGTTCTACGGTAAAAAGTTGTGAGATCCATGTAATACCAAGATTACCAAGTCCAGGCCAGGAAATCTTTAACGTTTTACATAAATATATTGACTTGGCCATCGCACTAAATAATTTAATTTACACGTGTTTTCATGCGATGGCCAAGTCAATATATTTATGTAAAACGTTAAAGATTTCCTGGCCTGGACTTGGTATTAGATGGATCTCACAACTTTTTACCGTAGAACAACTGAGTTGCGAGACTTGGTTTTTTTGACAAGTATTGTTTTTGATGGGATTACTTTAATGCTATAAAAATTGACGAAACTGGATTTATCAAGTTTTACAAAATTATATCTTCCAAAGTACTACGGCAGAGATCCATTTGGTGATATTTGCATAATATAGTATAAGTTGCGGCCAATATCGCCATGCTAGTATGGACACTTAATGACTTTTTGTAGTTAATGACTTCTTGCAATCAGCCGACGCCCTGTACTTTTGCCTCGTAAGGGTCACGTAGTCGAGCTCATCATTAACCATTATCATCGTGATAACTGTCACATTGAGTCATCACATTAACAAGTTACTTTACCTATTATAAAGAGAAAAATGTGTTGTTTGATATTTGTACAACAAGGATACATTAGTTCCTTATTCACAAATGAAGATAAATTGGTGGTTTGTCTGACGTATACTTTACAAAACTTAAGCATAGATTCTGCCCTGTGATTGGTCTAGCTAGAGCCCTATGTCTGTATTGAGAATTAAGTACAGCATGATAATGCTCATCTTTACTACTCAAGGGTGAATTTAATATGTTAAGTTCACACTTGATTAGAAGATGAGCACTAAATTGAGCACGCTTAAGCCAAAAATTATGATTATGACAAGATAAGTACTTACTCAAAAACTCGGTTCAACCTCAACCCACAAGTCTTGAATATACGAGTACTTACGCCCGTTTTCACAAACATTAAAACATGAGCTTGTAAGCGCGCGTGAACGTACAGGGTGACATGCGAATCAATAACAGAGCTCTCTTCAACGCTGTGCGTTCGATTTGCTGCTTCACTTAAGCAAGCATCGTTTGTGAATACGGGCGTTAGTACCGTCAGATGTTAGGGCCATTAGTGCGTTCTATTAAGGCAAGTGTGACGCGCTTTGTACGGTGCGGTGTGAAGAATGGTGTTAAGCTCAGAGTTTCTTGCGTTAATCTCAGATTACCCTGACATCCGCCTCGATTATGCCATCATCTTACGCAATTACTTTAATTACTGCTTAATATGGAGTATCACTGTTCAATTTGACATGCGCCTTTCACAAAAAGATTAAGTGCCTACATGTGCGTGTGTGATGAAGCTTCGTAGTATCATAAAATAGATAGAAAACTACAAAATCTCTATAAAACATCCTGTAATAAGTAGGTATATTGTGTAAAAGTCGTTCTCCTGCAATAGAGACTGAATCGTGCGATTGTGGTCAAATAACTGCTTTGTCTTGCATAAAAAAAAGAGACTAATGCCTGTTTTCACCACCAATCCTTAATTTTTAAGTGACCCCTAAAGTAACACATAACAGGAATTTTATTGACATAGGTAGGAGTCACTTAAAAATTATGGATTGATGGTGAAAACGAGCACAAATGACCTGATAATAAGACCACGAAGTCCTTGAAGATTTTAGTTGAACTATTTCTGTGATAAATCCTAATGTGCAAATAAATGAATTTGAATTTAATTCTAGTTCATACAGCTGCAGTAAAAGGCCAGTGAAGACAGGCTAATCAAAAAATGGACGATAACACAAGATGTCAAACTTTTGCATTTTCAATTCGAGTCGGCAATTTGACATTTGGTAATGGACGACCATTAGGAATCATTAATGACAGTTTGATCAATGGCGGTCGTAAAACGTGACAGTTGAATGACAAAATAATGAATACGTTTTACTGTTGGTATACCTTATGAATAATTTAAAATCAAATATTGGAAGGGCATGTTTAACGAGAAGATTATCTAACAAGCAATATGTTCGTAAATAAATAAATATCCTTGGACATTTTACACTACGCTTCTAGTCCCTACTACTATGGGTACAGTACTAGACAGTGGATATAAAATACTTTTTTTTGTAAATACATACATATTATACATAATAACACCCAGACCCGACACAGAAATTAAAATTCATCATTTCAATTTCTGCCCAGCCGGGAATTGAACCCGGGACCTCTCGGCATAGGTAGTAGTTCCGAAACCACTACACCAAACGGCCAACGAAATAAATTAATACTTGTAGATTTGTGAGAAAGAGTCAATTGTGACTGTCTTCACTTATACACTGTTACGCTCTACTAATCCTCAACTGGCCATCATTACAGTTGTTTTATAACGTTATACCGACACATTTACTATCACATAACAGGCCTACAAAAGAAATAAATCAATTTAAGAGCATAGGCCTCATGCCAATCGGATTGCCTCGGGGCCACAAGGCCGTGTGTGCACTTTCACTATCGGACGTAATTGGTTTAGAGTCTTACATCGGTATTTTTAGCCGTGGGCTGGTCACTGGTCACATTTCTGTACATGACCGTAGGGTCGACCAGTTTTTGAATGACCGCGTGTTGCCAAGCAGTTGTAGCGTGTGTCGCTGTCAAGCAAGATGAATGACTGTATGAAAAATCACTTGTTGCAGTTTGACAAGAATATAGGGTTTAGACTGAGCAACTTGTTTGAACAGAGACCAAAATGATACTATACCGTGGGCTGATAATGATGATGATTTTAAAATCATTATTATATTTTACTGATTTAAATCAGTAAGTGTACATCCGTCTCTACCATTATGTTAATCTTCTTTTGCTTGTATATTAAACTTCAATATACTTATATCAGATTTGTGACAGAAAGTCCATAAATAAAAAAATACAAAAATCAAAGATTAATGCTCGTATATATCAGACTATTAACTCTCGAACAGCTGCAACTCTCTTTTAAACTCTAGACCGTCTAACTCAACCATAGCCGGCTGGAAAAAATATCTAGAGACAGCTGGCTTTTACATTGTTTTCTAACAACTAAGTCTGTATTTGTAATAAATAAACCAACATAGAACTCTACTAGGAGTCATGCAATGCAATAGTCCTAAAAATAGATCTAATTGATGGCATTAGTGATATAGGACGTACCATAATATGGCTAGCGGCGTACACATGG